TTCCTCCATTATCATCTCTCGTATGTGAATTGTGATGCGACAGTTGTTCCTAACATGATATACAGACGCTGCGCATTTCCGACTCCCTCGTTGGCGCATCAATTGCTCTCACATTGGAAGCAGACATTGTGCGCTTACGTGTCCCTCGATGCCATCCCGGGATGGTGGACGCTTAGTTAGAGCCGGCGTCTACTCGGCTCAGCTTAGGGGCTTCTCAGGGTTTCTGTGACCTTTTAAGCCACACCCTCCGACGCCTAGCTGGATTTTAGTCGCCTCTTACGACAGGCATGCCTTACCGCGAGAATATTCTAACCCCTATTCCGCAGGGGGCACAACCGCACAAGTGTAATCCCGCGTGCGTGTGAATGTTCGCTGCTGGCTTTGCTGTGCTTGCCGTACGTGTGGATGTTCGCTGCTGGCTTTGCTGTGCTTGCCGTGCGTGTGGATGTTCGCTGCTGGTTTTGTTTAGCATATATAAATAACTTTTTAGGTAGACGAAAATACTGTTTTGTAATATTATTTTATTAAAAAAAATACTAAAAATAACTTATACCTAGCCTAAATATAAAACCAATTCACTTTATGTCTAATTAATAAGTAAAATTCATTTCGTATGTAACATTCATAAAAATTCAATATATATAACTAGATATTAAGTAAAATTTATTCATGCATATACACAATTTTAAATAAATAAAATTAAATTAATAAATGTTCAACAATATTTAAAGAATATATTTTCACTAAAAACTGGTTAATGCAGTGCTGTCGACGCAGCAATGTACTGCAACCGAAATGTTCAATAATATTTAAAAAATATATTCGTCACAAAAAACAATCACTATCACGTCGGGGTCACCAAATGTTGGGGCTTCAAGCGTTTTTGAAGCCACTGCGAAACAAAACAATGTATGAGAATACAAAAATGAAAAACAACCGAATCGTTAAAGTTTCAAAGAAATAATAATTTATTGAATTCAAAAAAAGGCTTATATCATACAATTATAGAGTTGCCATGTGCAACCAAAAAAAAAAAATAAAGTTTGAAAAAGAAATCAGTTAGTTTATTAATAACAATAATTTCACGAACAATATGTATTGAATTTTAAAATGATAAATTCCTCTTAAAACTGTGTCAGAAATATTAGCTTCCGAACTGACCATAGCATAGGCCGAATTGTAGCTTCGAATATTGTCAAAATAATTTTTGGACTTTTTCTTTATATTTTTAACATTTGATGTGAGACCGTCATACAATGAATTAAAAAATTTTTTTTGTGTTAATAGTGGAAGATGACTGTTGGAGATTGTTGGTCGCACAGCACAAATCCGCAGACCACCAAAGCACCAATTCTTGTACCACAATATTTGTTATTTGTTACAAAATTTGTTATATTCAAACAACAAAATTTAAGGTTTATTAAGTTATTATTAATAACTAAGTTTCAACAAACTTCAAAATAAATAATTTACACAACGATTTATGTTCAAAACTAATTCATTTATTAATAAGCATTTATTCAACAATGCAAACAACTATAGGTATATGACAAATAAAAAATGAATAAACACCACCGATTGGGCATCCGAATATGCAGCGATCTTAAACGCGACTGATTTAAAGCGAAATTGTATAATATATAAAAACGCATCAAGAGAGCGATTCGGTTATTATATTGATTTCCTACAACAATGATCTTTACCCTGATGGCAACACATTTGGAAGGCATTCCTTTCACGCATTGTAGACTCTGAAGCAAAATGATTTGGTAAACATATTGGTTCATAGAACCAATATGAAAGAGATCAAATTAGGCGGTATTTCACCCAATGCACATTTGAATGAACTTCGCAAAGGAATTGAATTATTATCAATATTATCATCAACTTGAATTAAATTTAAATTTGTAGTATTACATTTCGTATTCTACTCAATTGCATATTTTCTCTATTTCTTTGTCTCTGTACTGATTAGCAAAAAATATCAGCTACCGAACATACAAATTACGTTCACAATTTTATTCACAAATTGAAACTAAAGAAAAAAATAAACTCATCGATAACAAAGAAAGCAATGGGATATCGTCAAATCACACGAAGAAATTATCTCACGAATTAAAGTGTTGTTAATGTCGATTCAATCATCTAATTAAACTTGGAAAAAAATGGTAAAAAATTTAACTATCACATAATGCACTTCAATTGTGGCTATTTCCATTTCAATGTGTTTTTTTTCACAAACAATACTTGAAATTTAATGTGCATTAAAAATGTAATTGTAACAGAATTCAGTTTTGCAACACAGAAAGTCCAAACACAATTAAAGTGGAAAAAAATCGCTCACACAAATCCACCGTAAACAATATACAATTCGCTACAAAAACAAAAAACATTCAAAAACACATGTATTTTGTTGCTGAACACAAACTCTTTTGTTAGCGTAATTATATATAAATATGTCAACGGCAACACAGTTAAAAAGGGAACACAAACTCTTTTGTTAGCGTAATTATATATAAATATTATTTCTTTAATCGTATTTCAAAAAAACAAAAAAAAGGTTAGTTAAACATAATTACATATAAACTTGAGATTTTTATTGAGACCAGCTGTATTTGGAGGTTGTCCCTTTTGAGTTCACAGTGACTTCTAATCTGGTTTCGTGGTTGTACCTGTGGAATGTTATCCATGGAAACGACTTTAAGCGGTGTATCGGGTCAGAGTTCCCCTAAGTTTCCCAGTCGCTTCTTTGTAAAGATCCGCGGAGCGTTGGTCAGAACATGCAATTACTTTTATATGACCCTGATACCAGCCAGCATCACGACTGCTATTTGGAAAGCAAGTTTTGTGACATAGTGTAATAATATAATTGCCAAATGTATTAATAAAAACAAATATTTTTATTTTATTATTTAATGCCACAATGAATGGTAAAGCTACCTTATTTAAAATTAATCTAGCTTGTAGCATGTGAATCACAAATGTTGTTGGGTCGACGGATCGTAGATTATCCATAATATATACAAATATTGTTGGAAGTTTACAGGCCAATGATTTCGTGATTATTGTACTGCAGTAGAGCAAACGAATTTTTTTGCTTGACCTGGAGCATCAATAATACACCATCTATGTCCTTTTTGTCCAGCTTTTTTTTATGAAATTCAAAGCATTTTCAAATTGTGTGGTGAATAGATTGAGTGCTGTTTCTTCGCCTTTGAATTGTTAAGTGATTTCTTTGTGTTGAGATAAAAAAAATCAACTATACCCATAAAGAAAAATTGTTATTGACTTGTTGACTTATGAGTAGTTTATTTCATACTGTAAAAATTACTTAAAACTAAAGAATACAATAGTGTTGTGTTGCCAGATTTTCAACACTTTTCCAATTAACCGTATCCCGGATATGAATATTACAACCGAATGGAGGTTGTAGACGAGTAGGATCCAAATTAATAACATATGGCTTGAATCGCTTTGCAATATAATAATTGATCGTTTATAAATTAATAAAAAAACTTTATCTTTTTCTAGTCATTTTTAGACTAATTTTTATTTATTTAAATTTCTTAAATGTACCATAGTTTCTTAATAATAATTTCCTATAGAATCTTATGTATTGATTGTATTGGTTAATATTAAAATTACTTGCCTCTAATTGGTTAACCCAAATTAGACGTATATAATATCTTAAAAGAAATAGCTTATGAATAAATGGTATTATAACTAAGAACGCAAGTGTTCCACATATGGTTTTACTAGAAACCGTTTATTCTAGTGACAAAGTTTTGAGCTATGCATATTTCACATAGCAATGATAAAATAAAAAGTCAATAATGTTTTGTTTAGATCTTTGTTATAATTCTGGTTTTTACATTTTAGTTCCTTAGCTGTATCTTTTGTATACACTATATCAAACACTACAAAAAGACTGTCTGATAACTTACGTTCTAGTACCGAAGAAAGTTTGATACCTCTTATGTACTAAGAACGCATATATAGAATACTTAGCGTTCTGCTTATTTACTTATTTACTATTGGTTATACAATTTTAATACTTATAATTATCTGTGTCATAAAATTTTCATATACTTATGTCATTGGTCGTTTCGCTCACAATTGTATTCTTTACAGTGGCACACATCTGGTTACCAACTTTATTGAGGGCAACTCATATTGCATGCACAATTGCTTGCAATATGATCCCGGAAAACACTTAACACAAATTCATGTGTTGAGCATGCCAGTCAAATATCTGACTCATCAATTATTTTATATTTGGCATTTTGGGTTTCTCGGTCATGCTTGATATCCGAGAGTTTTGGGTTGGCATGACACATTAAATATTGCACACAACGTATTGTGTGTGGTCATGGTTAATATGCCACTACACGACCTTAATGATTTTACGAGATTAATGTTAGGCGAAGGTGGTGCTCTCGGTGTTTGTGGTATTTGTCCGACGGACAAATACAACATCCGTTGTAATAGCTCGTTTGCAGTTGTCGATGTGAAAGCTTCTGTATTATTTGTGGTGGTGGTTGGACTATTAATACTACGGTTGAGCTCGTCGACTAACTCTGGGGCGTCTAAGACTATAACGTCATCATTGTCAATATCCATTAGCAGTTGTTCTGCCAATTTGACTGCTGGCAACTGCATTTCCATTGCTTGGGCTTCGATAGGTGTGGAGCATTCCGTTCGCCAACCAGCAGCTCTTGGTTTATTTCTCCTATCGACCGGTGTTATGTACGAAACTGATTTACCGATATCCAAGGCGTGGGTTTTGTATTTATTTTTAGTGCTAAGGTTAGTATTGATTGCGTTTTTTCCGTTGATCTTTTTATCTTTTTAACTGTTTAGGTTCTTCGGTGGATGACTCTCAATAACTTTACATCGTGGTCGAGCTGCTTCTGGTTTTCGTTTGCCGAATATTGTCGGCAGCAGACAATGGTGCGGATATTCTTGATGCCACACTCCCAACAGAATAGAATTGGGCGTCCTTAGCATCTACTAGCAATGAGTCCGCATTGTCCACAGCGGCGACAGGCCAATTTGGGATGATCTATTTTCATGTTCTGGACTTTCATTGTATGGTTACGTTCCTCACTTGGCTTGTTATGATTAGTTGTTTCCTGTTCGCGGCGTAATAGCTCAAAGTCTTCGGCCAATGCTACCAGTTCCTCCAGATTCACGAAATCACGACGTTTAATATTTAACTGTAAGTCCGTCCCTGAATTCGATCCAATTGCTGACTAGTATTGATTCCGGCATGTCGCATTAAATTCTGTATAGTGACAACATAGTCTTTAAAAGGCTCTCGTTGTTTTTATCTGCGCGCACGGATCTCATCCTCTAATTTCTCAAAATACCTTGCTGGTAGGAAAAATTTAAGAAAGTCGGACTTAAAGGTGATCCACAGTTTCCATTGTTTATTGTTGTTTCTGTATGAGATCAACGCTTTGTCCTTTAAGAGTTCGGGCATAGTGCGTGGCATGGTGTTATTATTTAACCCATAGACTTCTACCAATTCTTCGATTCGCTCGATGAACATTAGTGGGTCCTTGCTCCCATCATATTTGATAGCCCACTTCCTTACTTGTTCAATGGTTTGTGGCATAGGTGGGACTGCGATGTGTACTTCACTGGTGGGTTCTTGTACTGTTCTTTTAGCCGCTCCACATTTTGTTTTAATTTGATGTTCGCTAGAAAGTGTGTTTATGTTTGCTAAATTTTAATTTGTAAATTAAAAAGAAAGTTATAATAAATAAACAAAAGTAATATTCATATTCAACGTATTTGTTTATTTTAGTTAATTTTTATAATACAATTTTAAATTTTATATTGTGTTCGCAGATGTCGCCGGTTCGGACTTGTATTACTTTCTTATGTAGGGTGGACATTTTAATGTAAAAATTCCGTCCTCACACAATTTAAATTATTTTTCCAAGTTATTATATCTTGAGATAGGGGACTCTGTTAATAATTTTTTTCGAAATCATCAATTTATTACGGGTCTTTTTAACTTAATTTTGTACCCTTCTTTAAATATCGTGTCATACCGTAAGCTACTTTAGCATATTCTTTCACGAATTTTCTATAGTATCCAGTAAAACCAAGAAATGATTTTATTTGTTTTGGAGTATCGGGTAGTTTAAGCAGTTGAATGCTTTCAATTTTACTTGCATTCGGCTTTATCCCCTCCGGTGTTAATACATGAGCTAAGTATTCAGTTGTTTTAGAAAAAAAAATTACACTTGTCAATTTGAATTTTTAGATTATGTTGTTTAAGTTTGTCAAATACTTTCTGAATGCTTGTAATGTGTTCATCTAGACTTGTGCTAAAAATAAGTATATCGTCTAAATATTTAACACATGTTTTATTTATATATTCTTATATATATTCTATATTCCTTTCAAATAAATTTTTAATTTTATGTTTTTTTTTCTAAACTCGTGTCTTCGCAAACTAGTGAATAAATTTGCTTTTATTTATAAACGATGTAAGTTGTCGACTAATAAAATTATTTTCGTTGAATTCATTTGGCAGAGGTTTTACTATTCCTTCATTAATGGTGGTTTGTCCTAGGAATTGTAGTTTTTAGTTTTTGTCGTTTGTAATTCAACAATTTGTTTTTGTCAAGTAGGGTGGTTGTCGAACCAGTTAGGCATTTTATTTCAGGCATTTATTCTTTTATAGTTAATTCAACAATCAGTAGAGATGTTCTGGGGTCACATAATGTTCTTCTTTAGGAATTTGTTTATTGTCCTGTACATAGTCAACCTCCATTGGAGTTGAGTTATTTCGATGACTTTGCATCGAATTTGTTTGTCTGAAATTTGAAACTTGCCTGTGTCTTGTAATGAATCCCTTTACGTGGGGCAGTCTATAGTTGGGATAGTTCAGCAGTGTCCAAGGTTCTTACAAGATAATTTGTATTTTTGGGCTCGACTCCGATTCACAGCGTAATTCCTGATTATTTACTCGTACCTAATCACTGTTTTACTCAAAAACCACATTAACCTTTGTATCGAACATATTCTTTATTGTTGTTATATATATTATTCAAATTTAATTATTTACATAGAAATAATGTTTATATAAAGTAAATAAACAAATTTTTTTAAATAAATAGAATTTTACATTGTTCAATGTATGTAAATCAAGTTAATTTAGTTAAACTTCGTATTCTCTAGAAATAATGTTTATATAAAGTAAATAAACAAATTTTTATAAATAAATTGAATTCACATTGTTCAATGTATATAAATCAAGTTAATTTAATTAAACTCCGTATTCTGTGGAAATAATGTTTATATCAAGTAAATAAACAAATTTTTTTAAATAAATAGCATTTTACATTGTTCAATGTACGTAAATCGAGTTAATTTAGTTATGCTTCATATTCTCTAGAAATAATGTTTATATAAAGTAAATAAACAAATTTTATAAATAATAGAATTTTTACATTGTTCAATGTATGTAAATCAAGTTAATTTAGTTATAATTTATATTTTATGTACATCACTAGGGTTGGTTGGTTGGTTGGAGTGGCGGCCCTGTTTACCAAGAAAAAGCCCACTTAAGCACAAATAATGGCCCGTTGTGGTACCACAAGGAAAGAGCGATGTTCGTATATAGATAAGGTGATCTGTATACGACCAACGCCCAACAGAGAGGCAACGACTCCCCCATTAGGTGAAAGAAAACCAGCCCGACAGTTCTATGAATCTAGCTAGTGTCGTGGTCCCTATCGGTGTTGATATTACAAAAAAAACACGAGGAGTTGGGGTTCGGTTCTTGTGTATTTATTAGATTTAAACCCTACTCCAAATGCTGTCGTCGCTTTGCTACGATCCGGAACTATTGATGCCGACCTGTTGCTGCTGGTGTTGTCACTTCCAACTTAGTGGCTGATGGGATTAATTCCGCTGCAGTTGTTTACTGGTGTAGTTCTGCTTACACTTCGGCTGTGCCTCTGCTGCTTTCTTTGACACAATTATGATCACCACCGAGTTGGTTTTTGTTAAAGATTAGGGTTGTTGCTGGTGGTTACACAGTGTTTTGTTCAGGAAACTTGAAGGTTGTTGTTGTTTCGACCAAGAATCTCGACAGTTCAAAAGGAGGAAAAACGACGTGAATTGGAAATTGAGGAAGAGATAAACCTCATGTTGATTAACGGCTGCTGACGAAAAACGAAATTTGTAGTACGATATTTGTTTTAACTTGACTTCAGCACAACATTTTCGTTGCTTTTAAATATTTTGATGTTAGCAATTGTGTTTTTGACGATATTTGTTTTAGATTGTATTAACACAAAACGTTTTCATTGCTTTAAATATTTTGGCGTTAGCAATTGTGCTTTTGACTATATTTGTTTTAGATTGTATTAACACAAAACGTTTTCATTGCTTTAAAATATGTTGGTGTTAGCAATTTGTGCTTTCGACGATATTTGTTTTAGATTGTATTAACACAAAACGTTTTCATTACTTTTAAATATTTTGGTGTTAGCAATTTGTGCTTTCGACGATATTTGTTTTAGATTGTATTAACACAAAACGTTTTCATTACTTTTAAATATTTTGGTGTTAGCAATTGTGCTTTCGACGATATTTGTTTTAACAATTTAGAATCACTTGAATCAAGTTGGGGCTGTTTTCTATCGATCATAGAATTAACTTATTCCACTTTCTTTTATTGCTTAACTTAACCACTTTCTATTTTTTGAAAAACACAGAGTCAAAATGCTTTCGAACCGTGCAGCCCGACGGTGATACATATGAACACTCGAACGTTAAGAACGCGCTATGGCTTTCAGTTTAGACCGTTCCTTGTTCGGTGGGGACAAAACAGCAACTGCTCACTCAAAAGTTTCTGTACTTTTGCGTTAGCTTCAAAAGTGGCGTGTTTGCTGGTCACGTTTTGTAGTGTCAGCACATTCCACGCTCGCGTTGCGGGATCGTTGCCTTCTGCATAGTCTTATGCTACCGCATCGTAACATGAGACTTAGTGCCAAGGCTATATTTGCATTTTTATTTAATAACGGCCAAACCGTTTTTTCCACACCCTATCGTGCACGTAACCACAACACTAGGTCCCTCACATTGTAGGATGACAGATCAGTTAGATCGGTCAGAAAAGGGGCCCCCAAGATTTTTGATCTTCTTCTGGCTAAAGATGGGCACTGACACATGAGATGAAACATAGTTTCCTCCTCGTCCTCAGAGCCACATCCGCGACAAAGGTCATTATAAGGAAGACCCAGTCTCATAGCATGCCTCCCTATTAAACAATGACCCGTCAGCACCGATACCGTAGCACTGAGCAGATCTCTCTTTAGTTGGAGCAGCTGATTTGTACGCTTTTTATCCAAGTTAGACCAGATCGACCTAGAAATGTGACAACTGGGCTCACTTACCCATTGTTGCTGAGCAATGCTTAGATATTTTTGTTTAATTGCCAGTTTAACTGTTGCAAGTGGAACACCAATTTCTAATAGATGAATATCAGGGAGAAGAGCCCCCGTCTTGGCAAGCTCGTCCGCCCTGCAGTTACCCGCAATATCCCTATGACCAGGAACCCAGATAAGTTGAACGTTAGCACACATAGCTAGGTCATTGAGAGAAACACGGCAATTTTGCGTAATAATTGATGAGGCTGAGGTGCTTACCAGTGATTTAACGGCAGCCTGACTGTCCGAGAAAATCGAATAGCTTTCTACAGAGGTACAATTGTCAAGGATCCATTTTACAACATAATGGATAGCCATTACTTCTGCTTGGAAAACACTACAGTAGTTAGGAAGTCGAAGCGAGACACTAAGACCTAATCTTTCCGAGAAAATGCCACAGCCGACTCGATTGTCTATTTTGGAGCCATCTGTGTAGATGTCTATTGTATTAGAGGTAGATACTCTTCCAAGGGTCCAGTCTTCTCTGCTAGGTATAAGAACTTTAAACCCCTGGTTAAGGTCTGAGTAGGAACACTTGTAGTCGATTGATAAGGGGGCTGGAAGATCCTGATTCAGTATGATCGCATGTCCTGTATCAATTCTAGACCAGCGTGGAAGAGCATTTAGTCTGGTTGCTACAATCTTAGCTTGCTGTTTTACAAGAAGCCGCGATGGCAACCAGTGAAGCAGAGTGAAAAGGGCCTTAGTGGGAGTGAAGCGCAAAGCACCGGTGATTTGAAGAGCGGATATTCTCCTAGTTTTGTCAATAAGTTTAGAGTGACATGCCTTTTCAGTAGCTTGCCACCAGAAAGCAACCCCATAGAGAAGAGTAGGTTCAATAACTGCCGTATAGAGCCAATTTAAAATACGAGGTTGAAGACCCCAGCTACGACCTATAGCTCTTCTACAACAGTAAGTGGCACAAGTAGCTTTGCGGACTCTCTCAACCAAGTTTGCCTTCCAATTGAGTTTAGAATCCATTATGAGGCCCAGATATTTGACGCTCGAGCTTAAGCTTAGTGTAATGTCTTTTATCTTGGGAAGGGAGAAGGAAGGAATTTTGTATTTTCTAGTGAAGAGAATGACCTCGGTCTTACCAGGGTTAATATCAAGATCAAATTCTCTACACCATTCGGTTATCGTGACGAGCGCGGAATTAATAACGTTCGATAAAACCTGGGGAAATTTACTCGATGAAGCGATAGCAATGTCATCGGCATAAGCTATTACGCTACATCCTGATCGTTCCAAAAGTTTCAACAAGGTATTAACCGCTATGTTCCACAACAGTGGGGAAAGTACCCCACCCTGTGGTGTTCCCCGACAAACTGTTCTACATGATTTAAAACTTCCGATATCGGAGGTGATAATTCTTGTTTTAAGAAGGACCTCTACAAACTTCACCAGACTTTCATCAAGGTTTAGATTTGAAAGAGATTTAACGATACCATTTGGGCACACATTATTGAAAGCGCCTTCAATGTCTAGAAAAGTTGCAAGTGTATATTCCCTGAGAGAGATGGAATAATCAACTTGTGAAATGAGAGCATGAAGCGCCGTGTCGACAGACTTGCCTTTAGTGTATGCATGCTGTGATGAAGAAAGAAGTCCGGGGTTTATAGTGTTTCTGATATGAAGATCAAGAACCCTTTCCAGTACTTTTAGAAGGAAGGAGGACAGACTAATGGGCCTATAGTCTTTGGCGCTGGAGTGTGTCGTTCTCCCTACTTTGGGAAGGAATACTACTCGAGCGATTCTCCAACGACTGGGAATATACATGAGTTTAAGGCAGCTGTTATATATACTAAGAAGCCAGGGAAGAATGACAAATTCACCTTGTTGGATGTCGGCAGGAATGATGCCGTCCAGACCTGGAGACTTATATGGTTGAAAAGTTTTGATGGCCCACCTTATTTGCGTGTAAGTCACTTGAAAAGGATTGGAGATAGCCAGCGTAGGTGACTCGAACTGTGCTGATGCATACGCATCAGAGGCTACACTCCCTGGGAAATGAGTGTCTAGCAGAATATCTAAAGTTTCCTTGCTAGAGTTAGTCCATTGACCGTTGGGGGCCCGGATACAATCTAGGGTCTTATGGGAGGAATTAAGAATTTTACGCAGTCGACTAGACTCAGAAGAAGTTTCTATGTTACCACAGAAATTTTTCCAAGCTGCTCTTTTGGCCCGCCGAATGGCATATTTAAATTCCCTAAGCTTTTCCTTATATAGTGCCCAATTACCGGTTGCTTTAGCATCATTGAAAAGTTTTCTACAACATTTGCGGAGATCTATAATATCTAGATTCCACCATGGTGGTTTAGGTTTTCCACGAAATATTGAGGGCTTACAAGCCGCATCTGTAGCGCCTTTGATTGCTGCCGTGAGGAGGTCGACTGTCTGTTCGATATCGGAGCAGTTCAAAATAGTGGGGGGGTCCGGCTGTAAGCTAGACTCAAGAGTTGATCGAAAAGTGGACCATTCGGTACGTTTCCTATTGACAGGCTTGGGTGATCTAATTATTTCAAAGTTCACCAACAGGTCCACGTCAAACATTATGTATCTGTGGTCCGAAAAGGAGCAGTCCTGTGATACAGACCAGTTTTTGAGAAAATTAGAAAAGTGTACGCTAATGAGGGTAATGTCGAGTACTTCCGTTCGATTAGAAGTCATGAATGTTGGTTCATTACCTTTATTAGCGATCATAAAGTTGCCTGCAAGAATGAAATCAAAAAGACACTCACATCGCTCGTTGGTGTCGGTGCTGCCCCACATTTCGTGATGTGCATTGGCATCGGCTCCAATAATAACCGGGATCCTTTTACTATTCGCCTCTGATGTCAGAAGCCTTAGAGAATCATGAGGTGGAGTGGCATCATGATCATGTGCCATGTAAGCTGAGACAATCCAAAGAGCCTTTGCCTCGTGTTCGATGGCCAAGGCTATGTTGTCGTTATTGCTAAATCTAGGAAGTAAAAAGGCATTAATGTTGTTTTTTACTAGAATACAAGATCTGGGTTTACCTTGACCTTCTACGAATACAATACGGTATCCGTTTGCATACAGATTATTAACAACCCGATTAACCCGATTATTAACAACCCAAGGTTCCTGGATCAGAATGATGTCCTCTCCTTTATCAGCTAGGCGGAGGATTAAGGCTGCCGAGGCAGATTTCGAGTGTTGGAGGTTAATTTGCACAACCTTCAACATACCTAAGTGTTTCCAACCACGGTGCTGTTCAGCTTGTCCTCGTCCGACATCGGTGAGGGTTCGCGGGACAGCGCCATATCTGTAAAAAGTTCGCCAACCAATTCGGATGACGAGAAAATACTGCCTCCATCGTCGGAGGAAAGGATACTGATTTTGTCACTTACCCCGTCTTCGGTGATATTAGTATCAGCAACAACAGCCCTGCAATCAGAGACCGGATCTGAAGAGACAACCCCAGAAGGTTGTTGTCGGGCGACTTGGGAGTCGCTTTTGTAGATTCTAAGGGTGACCGACCCGAAGCCATAGTTGATCACCCGATTTCGGGCTTGAAGGGGGGCGAGCGATTGTTCGTTAAGAACAACGAGAGCCTCTATGAAGTCGCCTCTGGGTTCGCTGACCTTAGCAACCTTCCAGTCGTGGGTAGGAAGATCTGGGTTGCTTGCCTTAAGAAGTGCGAGAATCTCCTCAGGCGAAGAGAGCTCCGAAGGAAGCCAGACTTTGGAGCGAGGGCGCTGTGGAATATTATCCATAGAAACAGCTTTAAGCTGTGCGCCAGGCCAGAGTTCCCCAAGTTTACCAATTGCTTCTTTGTATATATCCGCCGAGCGTTAATCGGAACAAGCAATTATTTTTACATGACCCTGGTACCACCCTGCGTCACGACAGCAAGGCGAAGGGCCAGGGTGAAGAGCCACGACTTCCATATAAACCTTCAGGAGAGCCCGCTCGACCTTTTTCCAGTTAACTGGGGAAATGGTGCCGTCACTGTTGCCAGTATCAATTATGGCCCAAGTCAGACTCTCCTTAATGATTTCACTAAGAGGTTTGGAGGGTTTTGAAGGTCCCAGCTTGGGACGCTTCGAAGATGTGGACGTTGCTGACTGTCCAGCCTGTTCAGTCGACCTTTGTCGTTTTTGCACAGGGGCAGAGGTAGTTTTTGTAAAATCGGCGGGACGGACTTTGACATTCTCCCTTGTCCAAGTTATTTTTGCCTTGTCGCTTTCTGTAAGCGAAGAAGGGTCGGCGGGGTTTAGCCTACGGTGAGCTGTCCTCCGTGTTCTATACGCCCTCGTCGAGGGGTTGACATGAGATTTTACACCGGAATTGGAGTTGGTGTTGGTTGCTGGTGGAGCGGTCAGCAAATTCGCTTTGACCGGTGCGCCTGCAGAAGAACAAGAGGCAGCGTTGCTACCTGGCATAGACGCCGAGGTGCTCGATGATGAAGCTGTGCTAAGTAATGCCGTCTGAGAGAGAGGTCTAGACGGATTGACAGACGCTTGCCTTCCCCCCGAAGGGTTGGAGGTTTGTTTATTAGTTTTATTTTTATTAGTATTCATTCTGTTGGGTCCCCACTCAAAGCTGCTATCTGAAACCCGTGAGTGTAGTCACCGGCGAAGATCCCATGGTTATCTATGCAAGTGCAGGGAGGCCATGCGAGGGTTGGCACCAGTCCTTATGGGAAACAGGTGCTCAGAGCCAGATCAGTGCTAATGGGGAGCCCAGCTACAACCGAACCTACACGGTCAACTTAATGGCGACGGATGCAGAACGTACTTTGAGGCCTGCCAGGGTTTTAACGGGACGGAGACAGCCACAGACTTAGCCTGGAGCCGTTCACACGCGAGTGTCACCCCGGTGCTACCGTGTCAGAAGACAACTAGGTCCAGAAACCTGTAACCACCAGCCCAAGGCGATCAAAAACAGAGAAATTGATCAGTAGAGTAGTCCGAGGACGAAAAAGCGGTCGTTGCCAGCGGATACTGGAGCCCATGAAAGGGACAGTGTCCGGTGAGAGATAGATCATTTAGCATTACCCAGGGTGCACCACGTGGAGGCGATCTAACTTACACCCCTTCACTAGGGTTCACAGGATACAATATTCGTAGAGTGTGGTTTTCGAAGAAGCTAAGCACAGATATTTCAACTAACGCGAGTTAAATTGTAGACGCAGGAATATGGAGTTATAACTATGATTCCCTAGCACACTGAATTTATTGAAACACAAGCTGTTTGTAAAAACAGAATACAATATTCGTAGAGTATGATTTTCGAAGAAGCTAAGCACAGAATTTTTAACTAACGCAGACTAAGCTGTAGACGCAGGAATATGGAGTTGTAACTATGATTCCCTAGCACACTGCATTTATTGAAGCACAAGCTGTTTGTAAACACAGGAGGCTTGATTTTATATATCTATGGGTCTCCCGCATAACACACATAAAATAATAAATATAAATATATATTGGAACGTGCTTACCAAGATTTCATGACTCTTCCCTTGTTACCCAAATTCTTAGTATTTCTTGATCTTCGTGCATCCGCCACCGCCACGTGCTAGATAATACCTTCTACCGAGATTTCCCATAGGGTACTTTTGAAGTCTTCTATGGAAGTTCTCTCTCTGGAAACTTTTAAACCTCCCAGATCGGTATCCTGCGATTGTGCTGTAATTGTTGTCAGCTGTCGGCGGTAACTCTGCACCAACCTCGTCTGTTCTGCTCACGGGTGGTAATTCAAAAAAAAAAAACTCGTCCTCACTGCTCGAAGGTGATTTCCAAAAGAGATCGATTTCACAACTTCGTCCCCTTTTATTCGATCTTGTGGACGCTTTTAATTCCGCTATCTGGCTTGTTTACGCCAAATGTGCATTTCGTCATCCACGAATTGTTTTTACATGTTTTGCGAAAAAAAAACATTAAGTTTTCGGTTACTTGCTTGTTTACTCCAATTGTGCATTTTTCCTCAAAGAATTGTTTTTGTATGTTTACGTG